AATCCCTGCCCTGAGCAGACCCAGCCTGCCAACAGACTCTCTTAGTGCAGCTGAGACCTGAAGGAAGGGATTATGTCCATTTAAAAAGAATCCTGCACCTGTACAGTGAGATTTTGAACAGCCATAAAACCAACAATGAAAAAAAAGACAACCCAAAACCAAAGCTAGATACAGCCACCAGCCCTCCCAATCCTGCTCCCTGAGCTACGCAGTGAGATGGCTTTGCTCACACAGGTTCACATCAAGCTTATTCTGTAATGAAGATTAATTCCTTCTCTAGCTATAGTTCAGCATCAAAAAAAAAAATTAAAGTTTTACTTGGGGAAAAACCTCATGAACTGCACTCTTCCAGCCTGCCCTAAATTAAAGGGACTTTTTCAAGAGCCTGCTTGCACGATTAAAAGAACATTTGAAATATAAACCTTCCTTCCACAGCTCAAAAGCAAGGCAAAAAAAATGATATTCCATTCTCTGGCAGTAATTGCACAGGGCTCAATATTAACCTGGTCAATGAAATTCAATCAGCTGAAAAGCACAGGTAGCACTGAGCTGCCCAGGCCATCCCTTCCTGGGGACATTTCCCTGCCAGTGAAACACAAGAGCATTTATCCTGCCCGCTGTCCTGGCTGGCAGGAACGGGGGTGTGGGCATCTCCTGGTGCCCAGCCCCGGCAGGGCCAGCTCCGACCCAGCCTCTGCCAGGCTGCAGGGTGGGAAAAGGACAGAGCAGCTGCTGGCGAGGCCACCAGCTAAGTGGCACAGAAAAGCAGAATATTCCACAGCAGCAGCTGGAGAGGCTCTGAGAGCAGCCATTCCCCAGCAGCAGCGCGAGGCCAGCGCCGCACAGCCACACCTCTGTCAAAACCCAGTGGGACCCGTGGGTGCCCTGCAGGGCCAGCCCCGCGTGGGCAGCGCCCAGCTGGGAGGGCAGAGCTGCCCTGGCTGCCCCAGCCCCATTGCACGGTGCCCCAGCCCCATCACTCAGTGCCCCAGCCCCATCGCTCAGTGCCCCAGCCCCATCGCACGGTGCCCCAGCCCCATCGCACGGTGCCCCAGCCCCATTGCACGGTGCCCCAGCCCCATGGCACGGTGCCCCAGCCCCATCGCTCAGTGCCCCAGCCCCATCGCACGGTGCCCCAGCCCATCGCTCGGCGCCCCAGCCCTGCTCCCCACCCGCACCCCACGCTCCTGGGGAGCAGCCCGGGGCAGCAGCAGCAGGCTGGGCACGGGGCAGGAGGAGCTGTGTCCCCGGGCTCGCTTTAGGGGTGTTTTTAGGGTGCCATTCAGCAGCAATCCCAGAGGATGGACTCTCAGCAGGATAACTACAGCCGCAGTTCCGTGTTTGCAGGGTTGCCAGCTGGTGTCAGACACCATGCTGGGAGGCAGTAAAGGCAGAGCTGGGCTCGGCCTTGCTCAAATCCTCCCTTTGTTTGCCCTCAGCTGCAGCACAACCGAAATCCCGGCCAACAAGCAGCAGCGGTATTTCGGTACAGCTGAAGAAGGTGTTTCAAAGCACCCAGCAGACCCTCAGGCACAGAACTGCACAAGGAATGCTGCAGACCTGTGCAGCTCTGTCCAGCGAGGAAATGATGCATAAATGGCCTCCGCTGTCACCAAACCAGCCCCAGCCCACCGCGAGCATCTCCTGTCACCAGGTTTTGCTCTCGTGCCATGAAGGCAGAAGTGCTCCATCCCTGAGATCTGGGGGGAAGTTCTGGGACCTCATTTGTCTGAAAACAGCCACTGGATGCTGTCAGGATAGTAAGGATCACACAGGAGCTGAGGGAGGGTCAATAATTACCTGAGGTGCAGCTGGAAGAAGCCAAGACTGCTGCTCAGCCCGAGCTGCAGGGCAGCTGGCACAGCCCAGCCTGGGCTCTGTTTGCCCACAGCCCTTACTGCTGCCCCAGCCCTCACCCGAGAACGGCAGGGCCCCGAGGTGGGGAGAGTGCCCAGCCGCATGTAAATACTTCATCGATTTTCTTCCTCCCTCCAGATGGTGCAATTCAGAAAAATTGTTTTTAAATGATGCCTTGCAGAAACAGCGAGCAGCACAGCCAATAACAGGCGCATCTCAGGTAAGCACTGACCTCCTTCCCTCCCCAGCCAGCTGAGGCATCCACAGCCCTGCGAGTGCTTTGTACAAATCACCCGCAGCCCAGGAGCTCGAGCAGATGGCCCCTAATTGGAACTGCAGCCCCTCAGCCTCTTCCCTCTCCTCCTTTATGTCTCCAGCAGGACCCAAAGATGGCTGTGGAAAACAATTCTGAGTCCTTGCCACGTTCAGTTGAATTCTTTTGCTTCCTTCTAAACCAAACAACCACATGCATCCAGGAAAAATTAATGCGACTGATGAGCCCAACAACTTGTTTGTGCTTCCAGGCGGTCAGAACCCTGCAGTGACCAGAGAGGAGAGGCAGCCTGGAGGCGATGGCCGGCCCAGGATGGATGGATGGGCACAGGGACAGACCCTGGCACAGCCACAGCACCCCCACGCCCCGAGGGCCATTGGCACCTCGGCTCTAGGGAGCAGCAGGGAAATGTTGGGTTTTATTACCAGGAGCTGGCTGGAAAGCTGGGCAGGCTCCAGGCAGCCAGGCTGCTGCACTCCTGCCTCCCCAGGGACACCAGGCTCAGGCTGCACATTCACCCCGCCGCTGCTCCTGCAGACAGGCAGCAGCAAGTGCCCAGCCTCAGAAAAATTAAGACTTGACTTTTTGGCAGTGTTCCCAGTACATTAAAAAAAAAAGCTGTAAAGTAGGTCACTGCACAATATGGAATTTCCCAGACATTTGCACCTTTTAGTAGAAACACTGAAGGGAACAAATTTGCACTGTGGGTGAAAATGGGCTCAGGGTCATCTGAAAACATGAAATCCAGCTGTGGGCCTCTGGCTTTCAGGGAGCCCTTCCCGCTCCCAGAGCCTCCCCCAGCACCAGAGGGCTGCAAACCACCTGAAGACACCTTCACCCCTCCTGTCCCCTCGCTGGGACAGGGTGGCACAGCCCCTCCAGCCCTGCACCCGCACTCCTGCAGTGCCAGGGACTGCCCAGCGCTCCCCAGACCAGCCCCAGAGCAGAGCTTCTGTTACTGATTGACACTGGACACAGTGCTAGCACCCCCATGAAAAATGTACTTTTTAAATGACTCCTACCTCGTGCTGGGGGCTGCCCGAGCCCCTGGGGTGGGTGGGCGAGCAGAGCCGAGCCCTGCACCCTCCTGCCAGGCCAGGAGCGGGGAAGGACAGGGAACACCTGCCCAGCCCCTGCAGAGGGTTAAATCAGGGTGGGGGCAGGCTGATGGTGCCATGGCCACCGCAGAGGCACCTGACAGCATCACCCGAGGGCAAACAACCAGTGTGACTTCCCTGGGTGCCTGGGACTGTACCGGGGAACAGCACAGAACCCCCTCCCCTCCTCTCCAGACATGTCACTGGGCATCCCCAAAACCAACTGAGTCCGTGGGGAGCAGCTGCCCCTTCCTGCACCTGCTCCAGCCACACAAACACATCCCGCTCCCCTGGAAATCAGCTTCATTACCATTCCTTCGATTTTCTGTACATAAATATTTGCAGAAGCTCCTTATCTTTTTCCTCAGAGCTGCATCTCTCTCCCCGCATGGCCAGCCAGCCTGCTTTTTCATCATTAGAAAATGCTGCAGGCTTGAAAGTAAAACTCAACAAGATGGAACAGGAGGAGAAGCATTGCTGGCGCAGGATGCACCTGAGGTGCCCCATCCCAGCTCCTCTGTGCCCTGCCTGACTGCGAAGGGAAAGGTTTGCAGATAATTCCTCCCATGCCCCTGGGAATGTGTTTTTGTTTTGCCGTGGAGCACAGCCAGCACCACCCCTCCAGCTGCCTGGGCTGCCTGGACCCCACTGGTGAAACCAGGACACGCCGTGAAGCATCCCTGCCTCTGAGGGATAAGGAAATAAGCTTGTCTTTTCTGTTCTCTTCAATTTCCGAAGCAAACAGTTCATCCTCACTGCTGTGCCATCACTCTGGGTTGCCTGGTCCATCTCCCAGTGCCCTGGGGACAAGTGTGAAGGTGGCAGCAGCCCCGAGCACCGTCAGCAGCACCATCACACCTCACCCGGACACGGATCACCCTCCGCCCCGGGCTAAAAGCTTTTCCATTAGCAGCTTCGCTGGATGCATTTTGTAGAAAGATAAAGCACCATGAGAAAATAAAGCCTTGTCATTTCCCTCTGCAAATAATTCAGGGCTGTAATGAGAAGGAATCAATCAAGGCAGAGCACTTGGGTTGCAAGGTCTTTCCCGCGGTGTCAATGGGAAACTCGTATAAAACCCTGGCACTTTCACAGCCTCAGCATCATCTGCACAGCCTGAGGTGCCCAAGGGGCCCGGGCTGTGCCTCTCTGATGGTCAAAGCAAATGGGAGCCACAGGAAGAGAAAAATAAGCATGAAGGAGTTTACAGAGCAATCAGAGAAGTCACCGCTGACAGTCTGTGCCCAGTCCGTGCCCAGCCCTGCCTCTGCTCCAGAAACCCTTTCTCAAGCCGTGTCTGCAGGAGCAGCGAGGGACAGAGCCCCGGGGAGGAAGGCACAGCCCCGGGCACCCAGCACACCCTGCAGAGGCAGCAGGCACAGGGTGACCCCAGGGCACCTGCCCGTGCCCTTGAAGAACAAAACATTCGATCCTGCATGAGGGAAAGCCAATTCCTGGCACTTGGAATGATTTCTATTGCACACCAATGGTGTCTGGCAGTTTAAAAAACCAGTGGAATGTAGTGTGTGCTGTCCCAAAGCCAGGGTGGGTGACCTGAGATGGCAGCAACGTCCCTCCAAATGCCACAAATGTTCTCTCCATCCTCTGTTCACAAGGCAGCAGCCACTGTGGGAGTTTTCCAGTTCCCAGTGCTCAGCTCTGGACACATCCTGCCTCCCAGCCACAACTCCCTCTCCCAGCCCTGCCTAAGGGTCTTGGGAGCAAATGGAATTATTTTCCCTTTGAAAGGATCCAGTCTTGGGCAGACTTTATTTCCTTTGAAAATATGACTTTTATTGGGAAGGAAAACACTGTCATAGAATCATAGAGTGGTTGGAAGGGACCTTAAGGACTGTCTCATTCCACCCCCCAGTAGTGCCCAGCACAGTTCAGCACCTGCAGAACCTGAGCTCCAAGGAGTGCAGGAGATCCCGGCTGGGCTGCCGGGCCTTTGTCGGGCACTGTGGAGCTTCGAGCAATGCAAACAGCAGCTCGGTGGCATCGGAGGGACAGAGTGTCCTGGCATGACTGGCCTCTTGCCTGTGCCCAGCTCCTGCCCACAGGAATTCCTTCTCTGTGAATAAAAGCAGAACAATCAGTCACATCCAGCGAAAAATCTGACTGTAAATAGCCACGAGGCGAGAGACCCAGGAATACAAACGCTGTGTGAATTTGCTTTGGGCAGCCAGAGAGTGACCGCAGGCACCCAGGGGTGTCCTGGCCGAGGGAGAGGCACCGGGCAGCCCCAGGGATGGACCCTGCTGTCCCCTGGCCAGCAGCCTCACGTCCTGGGCTACCAGCCCTGGGGGCTCCTGGCTGCAAAGGGAAACGGGACCACAGCTCCCCAGGGCTCCGGCACCGCTTCAAATCTGGCAGCTGACAAATATTAAAGCAGGTAATGCCCCAAATCCTGCCACTCCTGCTGGAATGTTTGTCCCATTAGTGAGACAGACAGGAAGCGATTTACAAAACACCAAATAAACGCAGCAAAAAATCACACAGAACTGAAGGCTGGGAACAAGGAGTTTAAATGATGGGTTTAGATCACGGCACAGCCACCCTGAACTGCATTAATTGGTGCGCTCGGAGCTGTCAGCTGCTGCCAGGGTGGAGATGAGCAGCAGGGCTGCAGAGGGCAAATTCCAGCAGCGGCACCAGCCGGGCCGGGCCGGCCTCGGACAGGTCGGGGTCACCTCCGTGTCCCAGCCCTGCGGCCACCGCGGCCCCTCCCTGCCCGTATTCCCAGCTCCTTTCCCTCATTCCCAGCTCCCTGCCCGCATTCCCAGCTCCTTTCCCTCATTCCCGGCTCCTTTCCCGCATTCCCAGCTCCTTTTCCCTCATTCCCAGCTCCCTGCCCACATTCCCAGCTCCTTTCCCACATTCCCAGCTCCTTTCCCACATTCCCAGCTCCTTTCCCTCATTCCCAGCTCCTTTTCCACATTCCCAGCTCCCTGCCCGTATTCCCAGCTCCTTTCCCTCATTTCCAGCTCCTTTCCCTCATTCCCAGCTCCCTGCCTGCATTCCCAGCTCCTTTCCCTCATTCCCAGCTCCTTTTCCACATTCCCAGCTCCTTTTCCACATTCCCAGCTCCCTGCCCGCATTCCCAGCTCCTTTCCCTCATTCCCAGCTCCCTTCCCTCATTCCCAGCCCCTTTCCCTCATTCCCAGCTCCCTGCCTTCGCCCCGTCTCTCCCGCGCTCACCTCCCGTTCCTGGCTCCAAGCAGATGTGTAACTTGGCTCGGGAGAAGAGGATGGATTTACTGAACCTTTACTATTCATAAACTTACTTAGGGCCGGGGCAGATACAAATGCTTCCTCACTCTAATTCCAAAATCCAGAGCGGTGTGAGACTAAAAATGCCAGACCAAAATGATACATGGCAGTTGAAATAGAAGCAATTTGATCATTTCCTCAGGCACGCGAGGCAGCAGCTCAATAAGAATAAATATGCTAATGAATGTGTTTAGTCTTGGCCATTACATTTGGTAAATATTTACTGCTCAGCATCCAGAGTCCCAATTCGCAGGCACCGACCAAGGCAAGAAGTGGGGAGGGGAGCGCTGTGCCCTGCGTGCCCCATTTCCTGTGGCCCCTGCTGGGGCTGCACGGGGCACACCTGTATGGGCACACCTGTACAGGGCACACCTGTATGGGGCACACTGCATGAGGCACACCTGTATGGGCACACCTGTATGGGCACACCTGTATAGGGCACACCTGTGCAGGGCACACCTGTATGGGGCACACCTGTACAGGGCACACCTGTACAGGGCACACCTGTACAGGGCACACCTGTATGGGCACACCTGTATGGGGCACACCTGTGCAGGGCACACCTGTGCAGGGCACACCTGTATGGGCACACCTGCACGGGGCACACTGCATGAGGCACACCTGTATGGGCACACCTGTATGGGCACGCCTGCACGGGGTACACCTGCCACCAAGGTCACACCTGCCACAAACAGCCCAGCCAGGGCCGTGCCAGTCCAGGGATGTCGTGTCCTGGGGCTGGCACCTGGCACAGCGCCTGTGCAGCACCAACACAGCCCTGGAGGCTGTGAGCAGGTAGCTGAGCCCAGCAGTCCCACCTGGCCGTGCCCTGCTTACAGGAGCAGCTCTCCCTGACCCCAGTGAGGCCTCACAGGTGTGCCAGGGCAGTCACCCCTGGGCTCACTCACCTTGGCACTGTGACAGCTGCTTTTTCTTCTCCTTCTCCTCACAGTGCTGCAGACTTCCAGGCAAAGTGGTCCTCAGGAGGAGAAGGGGAAGGCGGGGACTCCATTAAGGGAAGAAAATAGGAAAGGGCAGGTGAAGTCATTACCTGGTCTTTTCAGCAAGGAACAACTAAATCAAAGCCTGATCAATATATTCCTTTCAAGTAAAGTTCAAACACAAATCTCAGCCCCGGGAGGCCAGGCCTGAGGGAGCTAAATTGACGCTGCTCACAGGGCAAGGATGCACTTGCAGTGCAGAGCGAACCCCACCTGCCCATTGAACTCTGCACTCCACAGCTGCAGCTAAAAGCTCCCCTGATGAGCAGGGCAGAGCCCTGGAGGAGGCACCGAGCTCCTGCAGAGCCGCCCTGCCACCCATGTCCTCACCCGGCCCCACTCACCTGGCCCCAGGACCATGGCTCCAGGGCCACCCTGTCACCCCAGGGCCACCCTGTCACTGAGCCCCAGGGCCACCCCGTCAGGAGCACGAGGGAAACGCAGAGCAGCACCTCGGAGCCCCCAGCAGCTCTGGCTCTCTGCAGCCCCGTTTGCAGCTGGAACCTGCCAGGAGTGGACTGACTCCCAGGTGACAGGGACAGGAGCACAGCTGTGCCACACCTGTAACATGCCCCACACCTTCCCCGAGCCTGTGGGGTCTCAGCTCAGGGTCGAGGGGGCACAGGGCCAGCAGCTGCAGCCTGGAGTGGCCGGGGTGAAGGTGATGGGCATGGAGCACCCTCATCACTGCCCAGGCCTGGCCCCAGCCAGCAGAAGGTTTTGTGCTCTCTCTGGCCACAGCCCCCAACACCTTTCTTTCTTCTTGTAAGCAGGACTAAGCGCTGCTCAGTTCAATATTTATCACTGGAGCTCAGCCCCTAACAAACAGCCCGTCCTGCAGTCAGTTGCCACCTCCATGTGTTCAAGTCAAGCAAAAGGAGCTTGAAAAAGGAGCCGAGTGAGAATGGTTGAAACGTGGGAGCACTTACAGGGGATAAATAATGTACCAACACAGCAGGAGTTTCCTCCTACAAAAGGATTCTTTATTGCCTGGCCTTGCCTTGGCTCAGAACTGCCCTCACAACTTCTCACCTGGCACGGAGCTCCTGCCTTGGACATGGCCAGGTTCATTCAGCCACGTTTAATAAAGTTTTAAAGCCTTCCACACACGGCCCTGGCTCGCCGGGTCACCACCACCCCTCTGTGGTAAGTACATAAATGTACTACCACACCCTCCTGGCTGGAAACCCTGTCCTGACTGTGCCTGCAGAGCCCAGAGCCTCCTTTGCCCTCCCAGGGGAAGTGGTGCTTCCACCCGTGCATCCAACTGGGCTCTGCTGGTAGCTGGCATTTACTGACATTTCTGTTCAGACTTGCAAATTATTCACAAAGAAAGTTTCTGCCAATAATGTGGGTGCACATCATTCATTAGCACCTTTTCTGAACAAGTAATAAAAATAAATATAAATGCTGTGACTTTCACCCAAATGCACTATGACTTATACCACAAAACCCCAAAGTGAGGCGGAACAACTTTTTCTCATATATTTTATTCCAACTTTAATAAAAATAAGAGAAATGTGACAAATATGAGGAGCTGTGAAATGGCACTGGCAATCCATTAGGCATTAAAAAATCCCCACCCTTCCCACAGGATAGGCTCATATCTCAGTTACAAAAATAATGGGCTGGGGAAGCAGGACCGGGCTGGGGAAGCAGAACCAGGCTGGGCTGGGGAAGCAGGACCAGGCTGGGCTGGGGAAGCAGAGCTGGGCTGGGGAAGCAGAACCGGGCTGGGGAAGCAGAACCGGGCTGGGGAAGCAGAACTGGGCTGGGCTGGGGAAGCAGGACCGGGCTGGGGAAGCAGGACCGGGCTGGGCTGGGGAAGCAGGACCAGGCCAGCCCAGCAGCCTCTCCCGTCCCAGCGGGTGCGAGGGGGCAGAGCTGCTGGCCAGGGGCAGAGGGCAGGGCAGGGTGGGCATGAGGAGGGAACAGCGTTTGTCCATCACTGCTGCTCCTGCCAGGGGCACTGCAGAACCTCAAACATCACCGCTGAGTGCCCACCCTGCCCTCTGCTTTGAAGAGATCTGGGGCCATCGGGCCCTGCACCAGCAGACAGAGGTGTCCACGGGGCCGTGGCAATATCCAGAGACCCCAGGAGTGTCCACGGGGACTGTGGGTGCTGCCGGGCTCGGGGCTCCTACCCCTGCCCACCTCAGTGGGAAACCAGACAGAACACTGCTGCAGCCCCTTAAACACCAAACCAAACCCAGCCGAGATCCATCAGAATTAACCACATACTCCCTGCAGATATTTAGGCTCTGCACAGCATGACCTGAGCCCCCAAATCTCTTGGAAGCACGAAGCTCCAGAGAGCAAGGCTGGCAGCAGCCCCCATGGCCAGGGCAGCTGCAGGAGAGGTGGGCTGGGTTAGCTCTGTTTGGCAGCAGGACAATCCCTGAAGCAAAGGCTTTGGAATTCCAAAGGCTTTGGAATTCTGCTGCAGAGCTCTTATCCCTGTTCCTAATTCTGACCGAGGCACAGCCACTGCAGGGCCAGAACTGCTGGAGGGGAAGAGGCTGGGGCTGCAGCAAATACACCCAGCTGCAAAAGCCTCTGACAGCTGCAGAGAGATGTGTGACATGATATCAATTCCCAGGGCCTGCTTTTGACTACTTCAGTGTAAAGGTGCTATAGAAGCACAAATTGTTATTACAGTATTAGCTAGTACAACGAGGCATTAGGAAGAAGAACTGCCTCAGTGCCTGGGGGAAATCAGGAATGAGAATGAATTACAGAAACCGATACAGTTATACATGCCCTCTTCTAAAATGTATTTGAAACAAAACCATTACTATAA